ACCTGATCCTTGACGGCCATAGCGGCTGCCAGCTCTCTGACGACCCATCCTCGGTCGTGGGCGCCGGCTACGTGGACAACTACTTCGTCCTTGGCGGCTCCCCAAAGCACGTGAGCGAGCAGCTGCAGGCTATCACCGACGACCTCCAACGGCATGGGCTCGCAGTTCATGACGTCGAGGAGCCCTCCCAGGACTGCGACTTCCTGGGGCTGTCGCTGCGCGAGGGGCGCTGGCTCAGCCTTCGGACTCGCAACATCTGGCGCCTCCGCGTGGCCATCCGCGGCGCCCTGCGCCGCCAGCTGATCAGCGGGTTCCTGTTGCGGGTGCTCACCGGCCACATCACGTGGGCCCTTCTGCTTCGACGAGAGATGCTGCGCGTGCTGGGGGCGACCTGCGCATTCATTCAGGCCACCGGGCCCGCGGCGGCGCCCCTGTGGCCTGCGGCGCGACAGGAGCTCCAGCTAATTCACGACCTGCTGCCCCTTTGCACGGCCGACCTGGGCGCCCCCTGGCACGGGCGTGTCGCGTGTACAGACGCCTCTCCGTGGGGACTGGGTGTCGCTGCTCGCCGCGCCCCAAAGGACCTCGTGGGCGCCGCAGGCCGAGTTGCTGAAAAGTGGAGGTATAAAGTCGAGGGAGGAGCGCAGGCGAGAGCTCGCACTGTAGGAGTGTCGGAGGAGACTGACGCCGCCGCCGCCGACCTCGGCCACCCCCCCTCGTTCGACAGCTCGGACAACGCGAACGTCGGTCCCGGGGGGAAGGGGGCGCAGGACGAGCTGGGGCGTTCGGTGCTCGATCCTCGCCCGCCCGTCGACTTCGAGGAGGTCCCCGCGCACTTCATTCGGGAGTCGGCCTGGGGCTCGGTCGCCGCGGTCTTCGTCGACGGTCAGGCCAACATCTTGGCTTTGGAGGGGGGGGCTCTCGTTCTTGGGTATCGCCATCTGCTACGGTCCACGTCTTCGTTCGGGCCCCGGTTCCTCGTCCTCTCCGACAACCTGCCCTTGGTCCTGTCGGTCGGGAAGGGCCAGGCTCGCAGCAGGCACCTCCAGAGCACCCTGCGCAAGATCTGCGCGCTCTCCGCGGCCACTGGCTCAACCCTGTCTGTCAGGTGGATCCCGTCGGAGGCGAATCCCGCCGACGGGCACAGTCGCGGGCGCGTTGGCTGGTTCTCCGGCAGTCGGCCGGCGCCGGCGTTGCCGGGCGTGGGGCTGTTGGATCATGCGGCTGCACTGGTTGCTGGCGCTCCTCCTCCGGGCCGCGCTGGCTGGGAGGAAGCAGGCGGCTCCGACGGCGTCGGCGCTGGGGGGCGAGCGAGCCCGCCGCGCGCAGGAGCTCGCAGCTGCTGCGGCGCCGGTCCTGGGGCTCTCGCTGCTGGAGCGGCTGGCGGTGCGGCCCTCGACCGAGAAGCTCTACCGGGGGGCGCTGTCGGCCTTCGCGAGCTTCTGCGCAAGGCACCGCCTGGACTGGGCGGACCATGCCAGCATCGACTCGGTCCTCGTGCAGTACATGGACAGCGAGTTCCTCCTCGGCGGCGGCGGGAACATGGGGAACGTGCTCCTGGCGGCGGTCGCCCACTTTCTCGGCTCGCTCCACATGCGAGCGGCGACGCAGCTGCCGAGGGCGCACCGCGCGGCTGCAGCCTGGGCCCGGCGGGCGCCGGGCCGCACGCGCCTCCCGCTGCCGCGGCGAGTCGTGTTTGCCATCGCGGGCGTCCTCCTGCGCGACGGGCACTCCCGGCTCGCCATCTGCATCTTCGTCATGTTTGCGTGCTACCTCAGGCCCGGGGAGGCGGCGAAGCTGCGCGGGCGCCACTTGATAGCGCCTTCTGCCTCCGCGGGGACGCTCTACCAGTACTTCGGGCTGCTCCTGCACGAGAGCGGCAAGGACCCAGGCAAGACGGGCGTGAACGACGAGAGCATCCTCTTCGACCGCGAGGGCTGGCTCGCCCCCCTGCTGGCGGCCTTGAAGCTCAGCACCCTGCCCGACCAGCCGCTGTGGGGGGAGACGATCGCGCAGCTGCCGAAGCTCTTCGACAGCGCCTGCCGGGAGCTGTCGCTGGAACGCCTCCGACCACACTTATACAGCTTGCGTCACGGCGGGGCCTCGGACGACATGCTGTCGCAACGGAGGTCTCTGCCAGAGATCCAGAGGCGCGGACGATGGCGGTCCGCGAAGAGTCTCAACCGCTACACCAAGGAGACAAAGCTGCTGGACGATCTCGCCTGGATCCCTCCGGCTGCCCTGGAGCTCGGGGCTTTCGTCGAGGACAATTTGATGGCGCTCGTCGAGGGCTCCCTCCCCGCGCTGCTGGCGACTGGCCGCGTGCCGGCCGGGGCCGCCGGCCTGCTCGGAGCTCAGGCCGTCGCCCCCCAGCGGGCGCGGAAGCGGCCGGCGGCGGCGCGGTGACGGCCACTGGCGGCGCGGACGCCAGCGCGGCGGCTGGCGGCCCGGACGCCATCAGGCGGCACCTGCGGCGGCAGTACCAGCGCGCGGCGGCCCCAGGGCGCCGGCTGCGTCGTCGGCCCGTGCTGGAGCTGTTCTGCGGCGCCGGCACGATAGCTCGTGCGATGGTGGCGCTGGGCTTCGCCGCCTTCGGGCTCGACTGGAGCCGCAGCCCGCTGGAGGACCACGTTGCGGCGACATTCCAGACCGTCGTCCTTGGCTGGATCCAGTCCCGAGCGGTGGGCGCCGTTTGGCTCGGCACGCCGTGCGCGAGCTGGACGAGGGCGCCCCGGCGGCCGCTGAGGTCCGCGCTCCACCCGCTCGGTCTTCCTGATCTGAATGCCCATGAGCAGGCCAGGGTAGGCGCTGGCAACGCTACGTACCGCTTTACGCTCAGAGTGATTCGCGCATGCATTGCAGCTCGAGTGCCCGTATACTTAGAGAATCCACAGACCTCGCTCATTTGGTCTGGCCCTGGGCTGGCTCGTCTGTGTAAGTCGCCCTCTTGTCGCAAGTCTGTGTTGCATCAGTGCCAGTGCGGCGCGCTTTACAGAAAAGCCACCACCATCTGTTCTTGGGGTGCCGCCGCATCGCCGCTGCTCGAAAAGATTTGTTCTGGTCGCCGAGGGTTTTGCAGTGGGACTGGCAACAGGCACCTCGTTCTTGAAGGGAACGACGAGCAGGGTCGAAAGCGCACCGCGCTCGCTGCTGAGTACCCCTCCCAGCTCGCCGCTGCCGCTGCCCAGTGCATCGTTCAGTCCCTTTCTCTGCAGCCCGGGCAGGCCCTCCATTCGCCCGCCATGAAAATGTCTAGTTAATGCGGCCTTCGGCCAGACAAACCTTCGGGATCGGGTGGGGGCCACCAAAGTGGGTCTCTGCTGCTTCTGGTGCCCGCGTCCGCCGTCTCATCTGCAGTTGCACGATTGCATCGCATCGCCTGGCCCTTTCCTGTCCCAAAAGAACGATGGCCTCGACGGCGTCGCGTGCTGGTAGTTTTTACAACTGAATGCTGAGCGAAGACGGGGAACCGGACGAAACCTTGTAAAGCACAGTCGTCTGGGAGCAACGCAGAAACCTACCATTTTCAAATGAAAAAGGGTTCGGTTTTTCTGCCGGCGAAAACACTACAGACGTCATTGGCTTGCATACGTACTCATATTTGTGCTCAAAGTTTCCCCATTGCCATCCCGATTCGCCTACTTTGAACTGATCTGTCAGGGGTGGGGGCCACCAAAGTGGGTCTCTGCTGCTTCTGGTGCCCGCGTCCGCCGTCTCATCTGCAGTTGCACGATTGCATCGCATCGCCTGGCCCTTTCCTGTCCCAAAAGAATGATGGCCTCGACGGCGTCGCGTGCTATATATATATATATGTATTCATATATGGATTCATAGGAACAGAATGCGTGACGTTTACAATGACTAACATATGTGTAACTATCTAGGCGCATGGTCTCCTCCCCCCGCGCTTGCACACGCACACACACAAACGCGCACACACACACACACACACACGCAGTTCTAAAGTCGGCGGCGCAGAGGAGCCTCGGCGCGGTCGGCAGGTGCAGGTGCCAATCGCGAACGAACTTAGTCGAACGCGCCATTATGAAAGAGTCCAGCCACGGCAAGGCATATTGGTGATGGAAAAGAGAGGCGCCGTAAAGCCAAGATACAGCGGCCAAAGAAACCACGGAACGAAAGCTCGACGCAGGAAGTTGACGGGCAACCAGCAGCTTGCTGCGAACCACATTTTCAAGAAATATCAAAAGAAAACGAAACAGCTGCCAGGCCAGCCTGCTTGCGGCGCAAACACGATGGGAGGTGCGCGACAACGCGCAGCCACCGGCCCTGCAACGGGCAAAAACCAGATAAGCGACCGCGCAACATAACATACGAGGTCGGCAACAGAGATGATCACGCGGCCGAGGCTGACTTCGCCGTGGACAACAAAAGACGATGCTGAACACTGGCGACAGCGAACAGCAACCGCTTCACGCGGCGGCGCACGTGGGTGGTGGACATGCGCGAGCACGGCCACGGGTGGTGGACAAGTGCGAGCATGGCCAGCGTGCAGTGCCGGCGCCAGCGTTAAAATATCAACCCCAACACAGCCAGCCGCGAAGAGCTGCCATGAAGGCAGGCGAAAGCAAAACGTACATATGAGCAACCACTTAGGCCCAACAGAGACTGCACGCGTCACTACAAAGAACGCACCACACCGACCTAGGGCGACAAAGTGAACAAAGGACGAGCAAAGCGAACCCTCCAACGTGCTGCGCCAACGCATGGACGCCGGCAATCAAGCTGACATCCAGCCAAAGCCAGCAGGACGTGCGAACTGCAGCCCCAAGTACGGACTTGCACCCGGGGTACGGTGCAGAGAGCAAAAATTGAAAAGGCCGCTGCCATACCAGCCCGAACCCCATGCCAAAGCGCAAGCAGCAAGGCGGTACGGTGGAGGCGTGCGTTAAGGAATGTGCACAGGAATGTGGGACCCTGGAGGATTCCTTATTTGATGAGGGCGACAATCATGTCCATGGCCAAACATCAGTGAGGGTTCCGCTGGCTTCCAGACCCTGGATTCCTTATCTAAGGGTTCCTTATCCAATACCCCCACCGTCCGTAGCCATTTTGGCTCAAGCCGTGTCTCCGCCCGTCTTCGGCCGCGCGGGACTTCTTGAAATGGCTGCGGGAGGGGGCTCAGCAGCGCCACTGCGGGGCGCAGCTGGAGCCCGTGTGGCGGCGGATCGTTTGGTCGCGGGGCTGCAGCGGCAGCTCGCGGACGCCGACCGCCGCAGGTTGGAAGCCGAGGAGGCCATCGACACGCTCGTCGGCGACGCGGAGGTCGGCGCGCGCATCCGCTGCCTGCTGCCAGCTCTGGCGGCTTTGGTGGCTGGACGGGCGCCGACCTGGTTGCAGAAGCTGCGCCGCAACGTCGCGCTGCACTCCGCGGCGCCGGGAGCGCGGATCCTGGTGGCCAAGGCTGCCGAGCTCCGCGCTGCTCAGCAGGGGCCGAGGCTGGAGCGCGCCGCAGCGGCGACTGGAGCTTCCGACGGCGTGGAGGACGTGGACACGGACGAGAGCGGCTGGGCGGAGGCGCTGGCTACCCGAGGGGCCCCTGGGGTTCTCGAGACCCAGGATCCTTGGGCGGGAGGCGGCTTGCCCTTTCATGCTCGGGTGATCCACGTGGCCGAGTTGGAGCCGAGGCTCCTGGCGCAGGCCGATGCCCTGGCGGCAGAGCGCGCTCCGCGGCCAGGGCTGGGAGGTCAGGGAGGCACGGATCTTCAAGACCTCCCCGACGCCCAAGGGCATCTGCACGGAGCCACCCCAGAGGGCCTAGTACCTGGGGGCTTGGGAACGTTTCCCATCTGTTCTGACAAGGAGGCCATTCCCGCGGGCCCAGGGCTGGCGCCTGGGATGTGGCACACCTCCGAGCCGTTGGCGGAGGCGGAGGCCTTCGTCCAGGGGCTGGCGGCGGGCTGGCGGCTGGCCGAAGGAGCCCCCGAGTCGCTCGGCCCCGAGCGGCTGGAGGCGACAGAGCAGTGCGACGCGCACTTCAGCAAGCAGGCGGCGGCGGCGCACGGACCCAGCGTCGATCTCGCGGAGCTCTTCACCTCCTTCGAAGAGATGCTAGAGGTCGGCGCCTCCGTGAGCTCCGCCAGCCAGGCTGACGTGCAGCTGTTTCGGCACCCCCGCAAACTGTCGGGCACCGCATGTGAGGCCGTGCAGCTCTTCGACCCGATCGAGGAGCCCGTGTCTGGCGAAGCGGAGCCCGAAGGCAAGCAGGCAGAGGCTGTGCACGACGCAGCGGTGCCCAACGTGCAGGATCTGGAGTGCGCCCGCCTCGAGAGGGCGCTGGAGGCCCAGGTCCTGTTGTTCGAATCGCCCGAGTCGGAGCGTGCCTCGCCGCGGCGGCTGGACCCACAGCGAGAAGCTGTGAGAGCGGCGCTCGCGGCCCCGGAGCACGCCAGGCGACAGGGCGACTCGTGAAGGTGGTCGTGGGCATCGTGCGGCCGCTAGACGTGCCTTGCCCTTTGCCCTCCTTCCATTTGTAGAATTGAATGCGTGACCACGCGCCTGCTCGCGGGTGCTCGAAGAGTAAAAAAAAATACCCCCACCGTAAGGTCGCCGCCGGACCAGCTGCCAGACGGAAAAAAATGCCGACCGCGAGCGGCGCCCGTGGAAATTGCCACGCGCACCCAGGGGGTCGCAAGAGCGCCAGTGCCCCTGCTAGCACGCGAGGTGAAAGCCACCGCCTGGCCGAACCCCCGAGAAACAAACCCCGGACAAACAAATGATAACGGACAAAAGCTCTAAGCATCGTAATCGTTTTAGGGTTATAGGGCTATAAGGCTATAAGGCTACAGGGCTATAGGGCTAAAAGGCTAGGGCTATGGGGCTGTAGGTCTGTAGGGTTATACGGCTATAGGGCTATAGGGCTAAAGGGTTATAGGGCTATAAGGCTATACGGCTAGAAGGCTATAAGGCTATAGGGCCATAGGGCTATAGGGCTATAGGGCTATTAAGGCTGTAGGGCTATAGGGCTACAGGGCTATACGGCTATAAGGCTATAAGGCTATATGGCTATAAGGCTATAAGGCTATAGGTTTATAGGGCCATAGGGCTACTGGGCACCCAGGCACCCAGGCACCTGGGTATTCCGCCGACATGGGCGCCAAGCCTCACCTAACCAGATGAATCCGCCAGGACCCCTACAGAGGCAAGCTATGATTGGGGAACAGCCAGGCAAACAAAATCCCTCCCGCCTGAAGCGGTCACACACACACACACACACACTCACGCGCTGATTATTGTCTGGCTGCCCGTCGACCCCGCACGTTGACACACTCGCTATTATCATTCGCTCGCTGGCTCGATCGATCGCTCGCACCCTAAATACTATGTGTTATGCCTGCTAGCCTGCCTGCCTGCCTGACTTCCTATCTCTCTCTCTCTCTGTCTCTCTATCGCTCCCATTGTTGTTCCGTTCTCTCTCTCACTCTCTCTCTCTCTCTCTTTCTCCCCCTCCTTCACAGTATCTATGAGTCGGGCATGTCCCTCTACAGGAGGAGTATTCAAGAACACAAGAAATAGTATGGTAACGAATTCCCGTGTTATGTTGACAATGTTTGGTTATGTTGGAGGTATGTGTACATGGTTCTTCCTAAACCCGCCTGTAGGAAGACATGCCCGACCTCACCTGATCTGTCTCTTTACTTCTCTCCTTGCACACATACTTGCATTACGCACGTACGCCACGAATTCACAGACACCCCGCATAAGTGCACATAGTACGTACGTGTATGTGTATATATACATACGTATCATTCAATCACTCTCTCGCTCTCTCTCTCTCTCTCTCTCTTTCGCTCTCTCTCGCTCGCTCTTTCTATCTCTCGCTGTCGCTCTCTGTATCTCTTTCTCTCTCTCTCTCTCTCTCTATATATATATGTATATCTCTGTCTACATATATATATATAAGTATCTCGCTCTCTCGCTCTCACTCTCTCTTTCTCTCTCTCTCTCTCTCTATTTATGTTTCTCGTGTTTCTATATTTTGTTGCCCCTCTGTCCTCATCTTCGCTGGAGGGATACTGTTGCAGTTCATGCAGAGTAGTGTGATTGCCGAGTTGTTGTGAGCCGGCGCGGAGCATGTAGTCTCACGCTTTGAGTGCCGCCTGCCCTTCAGAGGACCGCTCCTACGGGAGCCGGCGAGCAGGCTGAACTGAACTGAACTGAACTGTTGCCCCTCTGTCGTCATCTTCGCGGGAGCATTCGGTCGTCCGTGTGGGATCACCATTTCCACACCTGTCTCCTTGCAGCTGTGTTGCCCGACAAGCAGCTCTGATCCGCCAGTCGGGTGCCTTGGGTGGTCGGAAATATATTGTGTTGCTGGTTCGTGCTTGGTCCAGTGCGACAGTTTGAGTACAGTCGGCCCGGATTAGTAGGTCGACCCTGCCCAATCACGGGTACCTTTGTGTCCTGTGTGTTCGCGACACCGTGCCTTCTTACTACACTCCTGTGGCGATGTGGCCCTCAGAAGGGTCTTGTGTCCTCTCGAGTGCCCTGTCCAATCGAGGCCGACTGTAACGTCGCTTCTGCGCCCGAAGGGGATCGAAGCAGTTTGGGCCCTCCCTTGGGCTCTTCCTCGGGCGCTCCTCGCACATCCGGGCGCACTTTTAGTCAGCAGCCGCAAGCGAAAGCGCAAACGGCGAGTCGAGTCAGAGCGGGCCGCGCAAAGACGAATTACCTAAAGCGGCGGGGATCACCACGGCGGGCAGGGCCGGCGGGTGGGGGTAGCACAGCCGGGCGCACGCGGGCCCCCCAAAAAGGGGGCGTCGGCCCCGAGTTACCAGTGGTCCCGCGCGGCAGGGCGCGGACTGCCGCCGGGAGACGGGCTGCTGCCTCGGGTGGCGCTGGGCGGCGAGTCGCGTGGCTGTTTGCGGGAAGTGCAGCGGGCAGGGACAAGAAGCATGCTGCCAGATATACACATGTTAAAAACACATATTTCATTCAATGGTAGGATCGTTAAAGTGTCAAGTTGTCATGGCATCCACAAGAGAAGTGAGCTTCCCTGGGCGGGGAAGAGAGGGGGACAGCACTCGGGCTGCACACGTCGGATTGGGGCGCAGCCTCGCGAGTTCGTGGCGAGATGCCTCCAGACTCCCTGTTCCCAGCTGGTGGCCCGCTCATTGATATGCATTGCCAAGGCTGCACTGTTTGGCCTAGCATTGCTCACGACCTACGGTAGGTTTGCGTCGTGTCGACCAGCGGCGACCCTAGCGCGGACGTTCAAGGTTGGACGCCGCCAGCGACCCAGAATCGATCGATGTTGAACGATCGGACGTTGCGGCAGCGGCCGATCGTTCAAGGTTGAACGATCCCTGCGGTGTCAAAAACCAACGCTGGGGTCGGCACGACACGAACCTGCCGTACTGTTGCTCACGACTCGCATGCAAGCGAGCGTCCGTGCACGGAGGTGTTCGGCATCACGCGCGTGACTCGCAGACCGGAGATGAGCGGCCTGGGGCTCGTGGCCATGGGGGGCGCCCTGCTGGCCAGGACGGCCAGCCTGCTTGGGAGGCGGGTTGAGGATGGACGCGTGCAGCATGACGAGATCCAGGGACGGCCAGCTTCTCCTCGGCAAGCTCATCACGATCCGACCGGATTCGACGATGTCCGGCTGATTCGAAGCGTCGTTGACGGGAGTTTGGCCTCGAGAGGCTTCCCATCGGTTGTTCACTACGCGTATCGTCCATGGTTGTTTCGAGGTGCAAGTTCTGGCCCGAGCGCCGTCCTGCCCTTCCGCCTGCGCCCTCTTGATCTCGGAGCGGCCCCCGTTGCCACGGCCACGCGCGGCTCGAAGAAACAGTCACGATGATGCCTTGGAGGGGTCAGCAGATTCTGATCTCGGCTCCGCGCCGGGAAGCAACATCGACACGTTTGGGAGCCTGAGGCCGCCTGCGCTGGGACGTGACGACGTGCATCGTCCGAGCTCGGTCGCCGTCCTTGTCCCCCCCCCCAACTCGCCCGGAGAGAACGGAGAATGGGGAGTGGCTCC